GGGTCAATCCTAGGTCAGCCCCAAAGCCTGTAGCTGAACCCGTTTTGTTGAGTCACCCAAAGTGACCCTTTGTTATATTTTGGAAATCCCTATGATGGAATGTTTTGTTATAATTTGTGGGAGCAACAAATATGTATAAAGTATTGTCAAAACTTAACTTCTGAGTTGATCTTTATTTTATTTTGTAGGGTGTATGACACACAGAATGTTATGTATGCACAGGAATGCATCATGATCCTGGCACTTAGACACAGCTCAATGAATGTTTGTTCTTTCATTATTTAGCTTCCGTTCAGGCCCCGAGGTTGAATAACATTTTAAGTAACTAAGCTAAGGCCTCAATTTAGGCTGGTCATGTCCAAACTTTTAGGGGCAGGTTTGGATCGTGACAGTACATCTTCAAAATTCTTTCAAAATACATGAAATCAAGTTGCTCCAAAATGAATGACATAGTCTATTCTTGTTTGCTTCACATAGTAAATTTTAGGATTTATTAATAATCAGAATATCACCATATAAAGTAAATAAAACTCATCTCATGGTTTAGTAGAGGCCGATCTTTTGACCAGGTGAGCAGGGGTGCCTAATTAATGACCTTCACCTCTCATACCTAAGGTTTCAAGTGAAGCATCCTTGGTTACGATGAACAGTGGCCTTAGCACGAATCACGGGTTTCTTAATTTTTTCAAAATATTATGTAGTGACTCTAAGATCTAGTGATGTAGTCCATTTCTGGCAAAGGTTTTGTAATAAAATGGATTTTCTATACCAGTTTCCAAATCTGGACTCTCATCTATGTTTCACATTGCACTCGTGAGACTAGATCAAAGAAATCGCGGGTCTGAAATGTTTAATGCGCACAGGTACCCCTTGGGTGATGTTACACAACCACAACAACCTTAATTTCCAAATTATTCATAACCAAACTTAACCAATTCAAATTAATTAAGCTCGATATAGAAGCACAATTCACATTCTTCACGGAACTCTCAAACCCTAGCTGACACTACTGAGCTTGTACCTACGGCTTTAAGATTGCTAGACTGTTCAGATTCTCGATGGAAACTGAGCAATGCAGCACATTGGATTCATCTCAACACAAACAAATCAATCAATCAACCAAACAAACAAACAATTCAATGTTGACATTTTTTAGCACGGAAGAGATCAAGTTGAATCTCAGGTAAGAAACATAGCACTCGGTTGGAGATCGATAAGGTGAAGAAGTGGCCATGGCAGTGCCCATGGCCGCAACCACAGCTGCGGCAGTAGCAGCGAAGTTGCAAGGCGACGGGGTTGAGGGTGATTGAAAAGAGAGAGGGAGATGGTGGTCATGGTTCTCTCATATTCTTCACCTTCACAACTCGACTAGAAGAACAAATGGTAGAGGCAGCGCCCATGGCTATCACTATAGCAGTGGTAGTAGTGGCGAAGCCGCGGGGTTAGTAGGGCTGGGGGTGAATAGAGAGAGAGAGAGAGAGAGAGAGAGAGTGGGCGACAATGGAAATGGATGAGAGAGAAGTCCTAGACCTAGAACTGGAAAGGAGAGAGAGAAGATGAAAAGAGAGAGAGAGAGCGAGCGAGAGGGGGGTTGAGGTTTGGTGGTTGCCACCGGTGGTGGTTGCGGTAGCGGAGGAAACCTTAATCTGGAGCTGGAAGAGGAGAGAGGAAGAGAGAGAGCGGGAGGCCGAAAAGTTTGGTGTGTTTGGTCCGTGTTTATCATATATATTTATATGTACAAGGGTTTTTTGGTCATTTTACTTAAATTTGTCCTTATGGACAACCTAATTCAACAACTGGACCTTTGGCTATACAAAATTCAATTTTGGAGTTTTGGCCCGATTGCCCTATAAAATATATATCATATTTATTATTATTGTATAAAATTTATAGAACCATAAAATCGAATTGAACCAAATCGAGTTTTATTAGATTTTTATGGTTCGATTTTGGTCCAGTTCTATAGTTTAATAGTTCGCTTACATTTTTAAATTTTTTTTTTTTAAATCGATTCCTTCAATTTGATTCCTAATTTATTTAAAACAGATTAATCCAATCCGTGCACACCCCAACAGGGGGTTTAATAGAGGTTTTGGTTGTCCTGAGTTCAATTTATGCAATTCAAAGATTTAAGAGTATCTCTATAAACTCCCCATTTTGATCAGCCTTAAGACTTGGGTGCTTTCTTTTGATTACTCAATGATGAAAATAAGAATGTGTTTTTCACAAAATTCTCAACAAAAAAGATGGAATTTGAGCTTTACTCTCCACCGTAAGCCTATTTTGGCCAAGTGTTTAGGTCCCGTCAGGCACCAGAACAAAGCTGGATTGAACCGTAGTGAAGTGAGCAAAATCCTCTCTGGGCAGTCGACCCCAGAGACAGATTGCACCAGTTTTTGTGTTGGTTTAGGTGGGGCACTTCATAACCCATTTTTCTGACCCATTATGCATTTAATGCATGTTTACTAGTTCTCTATTGCCTAGTGCTTAATCCATTAAAGGTAATGCTCCACTTTTGTCTTCCATTAGCTTCATTAGTGCTTCATCTGCCCCCATTATCTTCATTAATGCTTCATTCTTTTCTTCCACCATTTCTCCACTTGCATTGCCTATATGTATACATCAGATTGTTGAGAGAAGAAAGAGGATAGATTGAGTAGAGAAGGCTAGAGATAGAGAAGAAGAGAGTTTAGGCTTTGAATTCAAGAGTTAGCCAAAATTAAGTGTTTTTTGTAAACTTTCATTTTCTCAAGCTATACACCATATCTCACCTTCTATTACAAAAGTCAACCAAAATCATGTTATTATAGTTAAATTCTAGAGCTTTGATCAAAGAGAGGGTAGTCTTTGCTAGGTTGAAGAACCGAGCACTCATTTTCTACACTTGTCTGAAACCACCGTTCTAGCTCACATTCCAAATTTTTGAATTGAGGATTCAGAACACAATTCATAACGTTAAGGGTGATCAAGAGGAAATTTGGAAATAAAGAAGTTCAATCTTTCTTTGGAAGGTGAATTTTCAATTTTTCATTTTCCTTGCATTTTCTATCTTGTAGTCGTTTTCTTATTTTCATTTCATATTGTTTTGTTGTAATCTAACTAGAAGTAATTAATTTTATGTATGTATGTATGTATGTATGTATGTGTTGGTGTTTAGAGAGGATGGAACTGGATTGAGAGTAGGATTGGAAGGATTTGACGGAGGAAAAGTAGATTAGGAAAGTGTAGATAAACCACTGGTGGATTGGATTCATATGCTTGACACTATTGATATCCATTTGTTGCTCATCATTATATTCTCCTCCATCTCTCTCCTCTCAGGTTTACTTTTTACTTTTTTTATCTCTTCTGTATTTTTAGAGAGAGAAACAGAGAAATGAGGAGAGTATGATGATGGATCCGCTACTCTCTCTTGTCTGATGATGGATGAAAAGGCAAGTTTGCGAAGAAGTTCAACAAGAAAACAGAAGAAAAATTGAACAGGAGTTTCAACAGATAAAAATTAAATAGAAGAAAAAATGTTTGCATTGTCATTGTTTCTGGATCTTGGAGAAAAAAAAAGAAAAGAATATAGGAAAGATAGGAAGAAAAAACAGAATTAAATTCTTAGCTTCTTTTATTTGGGATATGCACACATGTTGAAGAGATATTGTGAAAAATTCAACAAATGTTGCCCAGATGCACTTTTCTTTAGATAATAGTTGAACAAATAGGTATAATAAGTTTGTGAATTTTTACAGATAGGATGAGAGAGAGAAGTGAACAAATTTGAATAGATAGGATTTTGTTTGGTTTGTTATTGTAACACAGAAAAATTAAATAAAATAATTGAACATATAGATATAAATTTGAATAGATAGATCTAAAAATTCAGCAGAGTAGGTGAAAAATTTCAACAGATAGCAAAATTTGAACAGATGAGGAGAATATGAATAGATAGATATTGATTTGAACAGATAGGCAAAAAACTTGAACAGATAAGAAAAAAACTGAACAGATAGTCAATGAAAGTCATCAAATAAAAAAAGTTACTAGATGGATTAAGGAGTAAAATTAGAAATAAAATGTCTTCTCGCCAAATAATTTTATGAAAAGTAGACTTTACACCAACAAAAAATATCTATTGAACCTAATATTTTACACACTTTTTAATTTGAATTTATCATCAATTTTTTCTTTATTTATTTATTTTGTTTAATACTAAAAAAATAGAATAAAAAATATAACATTTTTTAATAATTTAAATGCGTATCACATAAAATATCTCACTAGAACACAATTTAAATTATCACAATTCTTATTATTGAATTTGTAATCTAACCCTTCAATTGAATAAAAAAACGTATCACTTTAAAATATAATTTTCTTCCGTTCTCACTTTCTTTACCCCCTTTTAATTCTTGTTTTTATCCATCACTTAAAAGAGTAATGCTAGATATATCTATATTTTTAATTTATAAATTCATCCATATTGATGTGGTAAGAGGTAGAATTTTATATATTATTAAATGTATAATAAATTAAAAATTGACACATGTAATATTACATCATTGTAAATATAATTGTAAGAATTTTTTTTGAGTCTTAAATATTTTTTCACTTAAAAATCACTTCAATGTTATTCATCAACAAACTCAAGCAACAAACGGGGAAAACAACACTAGAAACCACACATACACGCATAAAACTGTAGGTAATAACTTTTCACTTGGGCAATAATTTCATTTATGGTCCTCCATCGAGACGAGCCAAATGATGGGTCTCACATATTGATAAACTCCACGTGTAAAATTCATTTTTTGTCATTTTATATCTCGTTAAGTAAATATCTTCTGCATTTATTGCACACCTGTATTTATTGTAGTGGTAATTCTTAAGTTTGAGGATGCCTCAGCCCCTGTTAGTTATTACCTACAGTTTTATGCCCTCTTAGTTCGACACCGCCGGTAATGACCATGAAGCCACGCTCAGGCACCTTCTTAATGGTAGCCAAAATGAGCTTAAACTAGTGGAAACAGTGCTACAGAAAAAGCTATCACAGGTATAACTGCCACAACATATTCAATAGTCTTGGCGTCTCTCACCACATCTTTGAGCACCAAAAAATATCCGCCGCAAAAAGACACCGACACTGAAGCTATGGATAAGAAGAGCGCAGTCAAACCTATGAGGAGCTCTGTCGGCAGGTCTTTACCGAAATCTTTTGCTTTTTGTCGAGAAGTGAGAATGGCGAGGAACATTACCACTGCTGTCAGTGAAAAGCAGAGCGCTCCAAGTGATGACGTGGAAAATACCTTAAACATGCGATGTGCTTGGAGAACTGGATCCCCATTGCTTTCAGTGCCACCTGGCACACTTGCCATCGTGGCAAAGGCGACAGTTGCAATGAGTGCTGCTACGATGGTGCATGAATCTGAGGTTTTCATTAGCCACTCTGTGTCATTTTGCACTAGCTCACTGTGTGTCTCTATGAAGATCTCTTGTGCGGTCTTGCCCCCGTTGTTTTGGTGTGCCACCAAATGTTTTGGTAGATGCTCTTTAATGCACTACAAATATAGATCAGTTTCAAATCTAAATCAAGTATATGAATGGTTAATTAGTTGAGGCTTTAGATCATATATCCCTAAGCAAATATATCTATTTATACTATACTGTTGTGTTATTTTATTTTATTTTTGTTTTCCCAAAATATCTTCATGTAACTGCTTTAAAATCCAGATTAAAATTTGTAATTTCTTGCAAATTTAATAGCACATCCATTAAATGTGCACAAATAAATTACTCATTCCTCATATGACAGAGTGATCTTATATTATGTGATTGTGTCGAACTCATATTACATCGTCTAAAGATGTTGCTTACCTTGTACCACTTGATTTCCCACTGCATTTGAAGTGCAGCATTTGGAGCAAGCCAAGGTTGATAAGTTTTAAGCATTGCAGCAAGATGTAATGCACTGTTTCCTTCATTATCCAAACAGTGCAACAAATCATCTATGCTTTTTGTTGATTTGCTTTTTAGCAACAATTGCAAGACATGAGGTTGTCTGTTTTCCACTGCTATGAGCATCAATTCTTCCCATCTGAATTCATGTCATGTATGGCCGCTGGAAATTCCTTGAGGACGTCCTTTACTATTTCTTTGATACCGTTTTTTGCTGCTATTAATATTGGTGTCTCTGCAGCCCAAAACACCAGAAATTCAATAATATTTCCTATGTATCACCTGATTTAACTTTACCCATTGTTTATTGCTATCTATTTGAGCCAAAAAAAAAATTTCTTTCAAAGAATCATACATGAAGTTAGTTTAAATTTAACAAACGAAAGACCATTGTATGTTTGTTTTGGTAAACGGCTTAAAATTCATAGTCCCATGAGACTATCAACTTAGTTAAATAGTGAGATTTAGAATTAGCCACATTATTTCACTCAACGATCAATAATAATTAGTCTTATCACATTCTATATATTTTACCCTGATCAAACATAGTACAAATACCTAGATAGTGTTACTAATGTACTAGTTCATAATTATCTTGGTTTTACGAATTCAGTGTAACCTCCAAAAATTTATATCGGTTATCAAACATGGCCTAAAGCTAATACTCAATAACGTCATAATTAAGAGCATTTAATAAAATGTTGTGAAAATATTTAATTGAAAAAGGAATTTTTATTCATGGAGTTCAATTATCATAAAATGTTGAATATATTCAGAAGAACTGAGACAGTGAGTACCTTTCTTGGTTTGGTTCTGTTGGCTGCTGCTTTTCAAGGAAACTAGGCTATCTGTAACTGCATTTAGTAACTTTGCCACATCAATGCCTTGTTTGGTATTCGAAAAAGAGAGGGTAAATGAACAAGAAGAGGAGGGAGTTTCTTGTGGAGTATCTTCCTGTAGTGTTTGGTTATCTAGGTTGCTGTCCAAATGGCTCTACTTTGGGATTTGATGATAGGAACTTTGGTGGCCTGGTTGGGGTTTGCTTCCACTGTCTTAATAATCATAATGAGAAAAGCATGTTGAACAAGTATGTTCTTGATGCCAATTGCCCACATGTGCCTTTCTTTCATCACCACTAAGGCCATGTTTGGCCATGTTTGTTTGGGTGGACATGAGCTTGGGATTGGACTAATAGTCCAATAAAATTATTAATCCGATATTTGGTTAAACAATTGAGGTACGGACTAATTATTTTAAACTTGACTATTAGTTAAGATAGGATACATAATCCAACAGATTCGTAGTCTTGGACTATTAGTCATGGGAATGCTAATCCAATCCACCCAAACAAACATGGCTTAATTGTTTTGGGAACAAAAACGTCATCCTCAAAAGTCCTATAATTAATCAAACACAAGTGAAAATTTAACTGCTAACAATACATATCATTTGTTAAACATACATAATTAGATAATTGAGATTATTGAATCCTTATTCTCTCTTCTACTTTCTTTTTTATATAATTAAATGCGAGTGAATTTTGATTAAAAATTTGATCTGATATGAAACACTCCTAATTCTCTCTCTCTCTCTCCAAATTATTTTTCAAATTGCAGTATGGTCGATTTAATATTTTACCATATTTGAGCCAAAAAAGGATCTTGAAGTAGAAACACTTGATGAACGCACAGGCCGAGGAGTAAATAGGCCGATGGCCAATTTTTGGCCATGGAGGATTCTCTACATCAGTTCCCTTGTGGTATTTTCCTGTTATCAGTTAACGGACAATAGTTCAATTACAATATTCATATCACATGAAATTATAAAATAAAAATAAAAATAAAAAAACTTCAATTTAATTTTATCCCCTCAAATAAAATGATTGTTTGGTAATACATGTAACTGATTTACATTGATTTCTGCAATTTTTTCTTGAGTAATTGAATTGGGTAATTAATTAAACAAGCATTTTTAAAATAATAAAAATAAATTATTGTCTGTTGAGAAAATAGAGTCAAATTGATTTAGTTTGGTTTGATTTTATAAGAGAAGAAATTAGTTTGGTTCAATTTTATAAGAGAAAAAATTGAAATATTAATTGTGAATATTGCAAAATTATAATTTTTAAGATCAGAGCTAGTGTAATGCCAAAGATCATGAAAAAAATATTATGAAGATGATCATAAAAGATTCTCCATCATTAGATTACCCATATACAATAAGACACCACACACTAATCACACACTAATTAAGGGATGAAAAATCTTCATGATGAATTTCATGATATATTTTTCATGATTCCTAGCATTATTGTTCTGGGTGACGGTGAGTGACGAGGATGGCGATCTTAAGTGTGACCAATTTATAAAATTACAATAAAGCCATAATTAAATAATCTGAAACAGTAAAAATTAAAAAAAAAAAAACACATTATTTTGAAAATATACATGAATAGTTCTCACTTCCCAACAGACAAACCTTTTGCAATTCTCAATGAAATAAATATGAGTAAAAGTAATTATTATATTAAGGCCTAGTTTGGGAAGTTTGAGAAAAGTCAAAAAGTCAAAAAGTTACTCAAAAAGTTAAAAAGTTAATACTATTCACCAAAAGTCAACAATTACGGTTGCACAACTCCCAATTCTAATTTTCCTCTACAAACCAATTTTTATAATTTTTTATTACACATTTTTCCATAAAAAGTCAAAAAGTTTACCCAAACATCCATATTTTTTCTCTCAACTTTTTAGTCCAAAAATACAAAAAGTACACTTATTTAGGACACCCCAAACAACCCCTAAATTTACGAAAATTATAGAAAATAAATGATATAATTTCATATTTTCTTAGAATAATTAAAAAAATCACTATTAAATATAAAAAAGTCATAACTAAAATCTCAAAATAATGTTATAATTTAAAAAGAAAATTGGTAATGACTAAAGAAAAATATGATGTAATTAAGGATACATATTGTATAAGGGTGTGTATAATAGAATTCTTTTTAAATTTACATATAAAATGAAATGTATTCACATGTCAAACTAAAACTGTCATTATGATTAATATTGTATAAATAAAAAATTTAGGGTAAATTAATCTAAGGACTCTCTCCAATTTTTAATAATAGAAAAAATCTATAATATTATTGTATGATGTCTAAGGTCCCTCAACTCCCGACACCTATATGTAACAGAGAAATTTGATCCTCTCAAATCAAACTGTTTTTCCCTCTCTTTCTCTCTCTGCTCTTCTCTTTCCGACAAACTCCACATCCATTGCCGGAGTTCATCATCGTCGTCGTCTTTTCCGACTCTCTTTCATCTGTCAAGCGAAGTTCAAAGTATCCTTATCCATGGACAATTTCACCAATATCGAAATCGAAGCGTACCGCAATGAGAAGACAACCCAATGGTGGAAGTAAACAACAATATCATCATCATCAAGGCCGATAATGGAAGTGATACTGTCACTTTCATGTTTGAAAGCCCTAGTAAGCTTCTCTTAGTTTTTCCTCCTCCAGTTCCGTCCTCTACTGGTCCTGGAACAATCTCTCTCTCTCTCTCTCTCTCTCTCTCTCTCTCTCTCACAACTCATACATATACAAACATCTATATATATAGTATGAAGTTAAACTGTTTGACAAAATGTAAGATTTAATTTGACAAAACTCTTCTTAGAACTGTAAAACATATAGTTGTGAGCTTTGAAGCTAACCTGTTTAATAAAATACTTTTTAGAAAAACAATTACAATTTTCTTTGGTTTGTTTAAAACAGAAAGAAAATTGTGGTTTTTTTTTTTTTTGTCTCTAAGTAGCCCAATTTTCTCTGGTTTGGTTTGATTTTGAATGACCAATAATAAAGGAGTTTAGATAACCAAGAAATCTTTCATGGTAGGTAAGTAGAGAAATTCTTTGATTTTGAGATTTTGAATGACCAATAATGGTTGTGAGAAATTTGGAGAATCAGAAACTTCTTATGCAACCATACATCCAAAGACAAAAATATTATAGAGAGAGAGAGAGAGTTTAGGCCAAGCTGAAACTTGAACTTACTTTGCCTAGAGAAATTTGGAGAGAATTTCTATGGAGAGTGCGAAGTTCAGAGAAATTTGAAGAGAAGTCCAGAAAAATTTGGAGAGAATCTCTCTGGACAGTGGGAAGTCCAGAGAAATTTAGAGTGACGTCTAGAGAAATTTGGAGAGAATTTCTCTGGACAATGGAAAGTCCAGAGAAATTTGGAGAGAAGTCTAAAGAAATTTGGAGAGAATTTCTCTAGGAATTAAAATTTCTCTAGATCAATGTGTGAGAGACCTTAGACATTATGAAAATATTTGAGGTCCTTTATGCTATAAAATTTTAATACCAAGGACCCTAAAAAAAATCTCCAAAAATGTATACATAATTTTTTTTTTTTTTTTTTACATCAAAACAAAACATCTATAAAGATGATTTATGTATATACTAACTGTTTGAAGGAGCAGCATCATTGATCACGTCTTTTGAATCTTCTATCACACTTGGTTTCTCAATGGGAATAACTTGCAAAATAGTAAGAAAGAAAAATAAAAAAAATAAAAAAGAAAATTTATTACTCTGCTCAAATGCTAACAAATATAATCACATACAAACCCCTCATTCCTCAATAATACCCTCGTCTTCAAATTTTAGTATGTAGTTCGATAGTAGACATTAATTAAATCGATTATGTAGTGTTTAAAAACTTCTATATACATAAAATTTGATTTTAAAAATAGACATAACCTTCTCTCATGTAAAGTGGGTCTTACTTAAAGTAAGAGAGTTATGTCTAATTTTATTATCGAATTTTATTTGAGTAGGAAGAAAAAAGAAATAGATAGAATATTCATTACATACGTGTTGAGTTATAGTTGGAAGAGAGTTGGTTTTGCTTACAATGATAAAGGAGTGTTTGGCACAAAGTAAGGCTGCAACTACTTCTGAAGGAAGAATGCTTGGTGGCTGCAACTACCTCTAAAAAAACCTCCATCTCTAGCCTCTCCGATGGCCAGCCGGCCGTCGCATTTGGCCATGGCGATCAGCTGGCTTAGCTTTTCTTCTTGTGTTGATGCTTTTTTCTCCTAATAATCTTGAGCCCCCATTTG